AGCAGTTCAGTACCAATAGTATTCTAGTTGCTTTACATCCCAGCCTATAATTGGTATAATCAAGCTAAATTTTGGCCTAACTTTAGGATATGAAATGGTATCTCATTGGGGCTTTCATTTATATTTTCTTGATTAGTGATGAGGTTGATCATCTTTAAAAGCTTTAGTAGATTTATTGGCATCTCCTCTTATGTGACTTGTCTTTTATATCTTTTGCTTATTTGGAAACCAGTCTGTGCGTTCATCACTTACAATAGTTCTGTTTATATATTCTCTTCATTAATCTTTTATTGGGTATGTGTTTTATAAAATCTTTTTCCAGCCAGTGGTCATCCTTTACCTTTGTTGATGGAACCTTTTGTACACCTATCTAGTTTTAACTTCTAAAAATGATACTGGGAATGAAACTCAGGTCTCATACATGCTGGGTAAGCACTCCATCACTGCTATTGTCAGAGTTTCGGCAAGGGAGTATATTTAATACAGGGCACATAGTTTATAGAATTATTTTATGATATTTACCCAAAAAGTCAAATGCAGAGGAGTGCAAGAGATTAGCTGCACAACAGAGGCCGAAAGAATCCAGCCGAGGGCCTGAATCCCACAGCAACGTCCCACACAAATCCAGCTAAAGGCATAGAGTCCGAGGCAGTGTCCTCCACGAGTCCAGCCAGAGCCCACAGCAACGTCTCATGCTTGGCTCTTTTGAGGATCTGCACCCCGAAGACCCAAAGGCCACTGGTGGAAGTCAATAAACCTACCCCACTGGGATGCATGATTTTTGCCACCAGGCTGAGGGATCTACATTGGAGACAGGAAGTGATGCTTATGGAGAAGAACAGAGCTCCACTGATGAAAACAGTAGCCGTTCCCAGCCACAGCGAGGACCCAAGCTCCTCTGCCAGAAAAACAACCAAGTTCTTATCAAGAAAACCATCTGTCGCAAGCTTCTGCTAGAAAATCAACAGCCCACAATCTTCCCCTCCAATTCTCTTTTTATGCTATTGGCAACAATTCTCAGGTGGGTCTTCCATGCCCAGACTACACTGATTTAGTGCAGCTGGGAGTTACAAGTTGATCATTAGTTAATGAACCACAATCACTAAACCATATTCCCAGCCTTTAGTTTTAATTTTTAATGTCTTTCAATTTAACACTGTTTTCTTTATGAACTATAATTTTTATGTCTTGCCTTTCCTTCCCGTGAGATCAGAAAGGTACATACAAAAATGTTCAAGCCTTGTGGAGATTACTTTTGAATAAAGTATGAGGTAAAGTATGATGTGATGGACTTTCCATAACCAACTGCCTGAGATTTGTTTATCACATAGTCCTTTATTCCCCACTGATACACAATGCAACACCTCTCGTGTATCATTTCTATAAAGTAAGGATGTGTTTTGAGCTCTCTGTACTGTTTGTTGGTTATTTTGTGTAGCTGTGTCAATAATGTGTCAGGTGATATCTATAGCTTCAAATGTAGCTTGAGCCGTGTTCTGTGTAAGGATGCTAGGGTGAAAAAAAGGGTGGGTCGGTACTCTGAATCCCGTTTGATGCCCACTGCCATGAGGTGTGATTGCCCAGAAGGGGACATGTTTCTGGTTCATACGAAGACATCATTAGCTGGGTAAGTTGAACTCATCCACGGTTTCATACCCTGATCTCCCCAGGGGTACCTGTTCTTCCTCTGGGAAATGGACAGATAAAGAAGGGTATGGGCCCCGAATCAGTGTCTAATTGGTCCTTCTCCTAACTGTCCTTTAAAAATGGCTGGGCTACTGTACACCCTTCAGTGTTGCTGAAAAGTCTCTGTACATTTCATTTATATTTGAGAAAATTTATTCTGAGAATTTTATTATTGTTGCCTTGGCTTCCATTACTTTTCATGGGACTGGGATCTTTTTGATATTTAGTTTTCCCATTAACTAATATGTTATATCTATTTATGCTTTTTGTTGTCTTTTAATATGAGTTTAATAATTTTTTCGTATGATTTTATAGATGTCTTATTAGATTTATTCCCAAGCTGTCTCTCTTCTTCATTGTTTTTATTAAACACACACAATTATACTACCTTGTATGAAGTGTCACTGATGTGTACAAATACGACTTTTATATAAAGATGAACATATATTTCTTATTGTTTCTTCATGGTGAATTTTCTATTCACAACTTTAATCCCTTTTTCTCATGGCATATATGAGGAGGACCGCCTGCCCTAATGATTTATAAAAACTTTAAAATGAAGACTAATTGATGTATTCCAACACCCTATATTACAGTGTTATTTGTCTTATTTTTCTTTTCTTTGACTGCAGAAACTTTAAATTTTAGGAAGTCACAAATATCAAGCTTCCATGCTTTATTTTTGTTTCCGCATGCCAAGATTAAATAACTATTAATTTATATTTTCTCCTTAAAATTATTTTTATTTAACTTTTTAATCCACCTGGAGTATGTTTTGGTGTTTACTGTAATTATTAACATCAGTTTTATATAATTTCTTCCCAGGAAACTTGCCAAGTGTTTCAGCAATGTTTTATTCTCCACTGAACACTGCCTCAATCTACAGTATATGACTGTCGCCTTCTTTTTCCATTTTGTTAACTACCTGAAGAGTTAGTCAGACTCAAGAGTTTACTCCATGAATTAAACATTTCTAAAAGCTCACGGGGCACTTTGTTCTACTAGTATAGCAGTTCTGGAGAATATTCTCAACAGAATTCTATCGTACCATTGCCTACTCCAAGTCTCGTCAACAAAGAGCAGGCCATAAATAAACGGGATGGATGGGTACATTGAGGAAATGAGAAAACACCTTTTTCTTAGATTTATTGTTTTGTTTTTTTCGGAGGGAAGATAGGTTTCAATGACTTGCAAGGTGGTAATCCAGCAGACTGGTGAGGAATAAACCTGTGCAGAGACAGGAAAGAGAGCACAGAAAGGGAAATGCCTGGGGATGTTTGAGATACTGGTTTTGTAGTGAGAAGCTGAAACAAAGTTAGAAATCTCTTAGAAGAGGACACACTGTGCCTGATAAAGGTCATGCAGTTGCAAGTTGTTTTTGTTTTTCTTTCACTTTATGAAGAATTATATATGGAGAGAACAAACAGTAGATCACATGACTTCATTCCTTAATCTTCAACAATGATCAATACCAAAATTACTTTTCCATCTCTACTTCTACCCATTTCACCTCTCCCTCCACCACTGGAGTACTTTGAAGCAAATGTAACCACCCTATCACTTTATCTGGTTTCACTTCCACTATAAATATTTCAGTATGCCTCTGTAAAAAATAAAAGCTCTTTTATTTTGGTGCCGGGGATTGAACTCCCCGGCGGAACCACTGAGGCAGGCGGCGGAACCACTGAGCCAAATCCCCAGCAAAGACAGAGGCTCTTTACAACAAACAACCACAGTATGTTGAGACTGCGTTTGCTCTCTCACTGATGTAATACGTGGCTCGTTTCATCTGCAGTGGTGGAGCGTGAAGGACTTCAGCCTGGTGTCAGGAGAGGTGGGTGAAGTCCTGGCTCTCAGTGTCCTACCTGCGTCACTCTGCATTCACCACTTCAAACCTACTTCCTCACTAGTGACAGGGGGTACAGTAGCAGTCTTATCCACTTTGGAACCACCATGAGGATGAGGTTGACAAATGAGTGAAAAAAAAAATCAAAAAATTTGAAGCACTGAATTCTAGTCTTTACCCTCCTTGGTTTGGAGAGTGAACCAAAGGCCTCCACACGGAGTTACATCCCCAGCCCTTTTTAAAAATTGTAAAATGTTCTTGCTAAAGCCACTACATTTTTCAGGTTGGGCGAATCTGAGATCTTTTTTGCTGGGATTACATGTGTGAGCCACCAGGCCTGACTCTACAATGCAGTTTAATCTTGTCCTCTTTGGATGATTTTGAGGACAGATATCAGAAGTCAGTAGATCATTTTTGCCTAAGCCTTGCCTATGGTATTCTTTCTGAAGTTTCTCTTCCTTAAAAGCACATCATTCTGGTACTTATTTTAAAATTATTATTGTTGCTATTTTGCCAGGCAAGGGATCCAACCCAGGGCCTCTTGCTGGCCAGCATGCTAGGCCAGCACTACCGTGGAGCTACATCCCCAGCAACACCCCCAACCCCACATTTTAAAATTTAGAGGCCTTGCCAGGGATTTAGCTCAGTGGTTCTGCCGTCTGCCTCACAAGCGCAAGGACCGAAACCCGGTACCAAAAAAAAAAAAAAAAAAAAAAAAAAAAAAAAAAAAAAAAAGAAAGGATAAAATTAAACTTTAAGAGGCCTAGGCATCTAGACATCCACACTCTCAAGAAATTCTAAATGCAAGAGAACCGTACTTAGGACTGCTTCTTCTCCCTTTCTGTGACCCTGTCTTTCTCTTAACTTTAAGAGTACGAAGAATCGACAACTCTCAGGATACCGCCTAGGGCAAACTCAGAATTTTCCAGAGTCTCTTCAGCGGTCTTTGCCCTCCTTAGCGTCAGAAAACCAAGAGGAAAACAAACTTCATCTCTCCCCCTCCAAAGCCACAAGGACAATGACAAAAAGAAAGTAGCCAGGCACTTTTGGATTGCTAAACTGCGCGCTTTGGGGGAAACTACGGTCTCCCTATAGGGGGAACTCTACAGAGTGTTTTCCTGAGCGAGGCCGGCTGGGCGGCGTCCTCTTCCCAAGGCCCTGACTTCTATTCTTAGATCTGGAGATCGGCGGCTTTCGCTTTTTCCCTGTAGCTGTTCCCAGGCCTCGGCGGGCCTGGTGAGCTCCGGAGCCTCTCGGGCCGGCGCCAGGATACCTCTAGCGTCCCGGGCTGCGGCCGGAGGAGGCGGCGC